GCGAACAAAGGCGACGATATCGCTGGAAAAAAAGGGGGGGGGGGGGGGGGGGGGGGCGCAGTTCTCCTCTGGCCAGACGAACCAGAGGTTGTTCCAGCATAGTCAGATTTTGCGGAGGACTCATCTGGTTCCTGTGGTCTTGTCCCGGTGGCCGTCTGGGAGACAAGGTCTTCACTGGGGATCTGTCTCTGGGGCTCATCTAGTTGTTCTGCTCTCCGCTGACAATCAGGGCTGTATAGGTCCTCTCTAGGTGCTGATCCACCATCTGGGCTGGATACGTACTGGAGCCGGGTGACTGCAGTGACCATCTGATCTGGATACTGACTGGATCTGGTGGCTACGGTGACCTCGGAATAAGAAAGAAACAGACTAATATTAGCGTAGATGCCATTCTTCTAACGATGTAACAAGTACATTCGGGTGTTATTGGAACTGTTCCCACTTCGGGTTGACCAAATTAATGCAGCCTAATAATCCTTTAACAGATTTGAATAATAGAAATGTGTTAGTGTGCTATGTGTAAGCCAGGTTAAAGAGATGGGTCTTTAATCTAGATTCAAACTGACAGAGTGTGTCTGCCTCCCGAACAATGTTAGGTAGAGTAAAAGTAGAAATTACTTTGGTAACACTTCAGTATAGGGACCAATTCCCATTATTAACTAGTTGCTTATTAGCATGCCTATTATTAATATATTGGCTGTTTATTAATACATAAAAAGCATACAGGGTATAGACTGTATGTATATATTCTTTCATAGATATTTTTGAGCATCAAACCCCTAATCCTAACCACTTCTTAAGAATGTAAAACATGTAACAGGCAGATCACAGGTGTTTATTGCAAAAAATGGCCATAAAACAGTATAAAAGTATTACAAATTGTTGTATTCCAAGTCTTCTGAAGCCATGCTAGATCTTTTATGAAGTGAGGAGAAAAGAGCGAAACTTAATACAGTCACATCTGATTCAAAAGATAAATCCAAACTTTATCATGATGTAATTGGTCATGAGACTCGCAAGAGCCAATCAGATTTCACAATCAAGGCTGATGTTGCACTTCTTCAGATGGCAGTTTTTTAATGTGCTTGTGATTTGAGCATTATGTTGGATGGAGACGGGATTGCTTTTGGGTGTGTTTCTTATAAAAATCAATTGTTTTGCCTAGAAAACTTGGAATATTTGTATTTTTTTAACCAATTTGTTGGTTTTGTTTTATATTGACAATTGTGACTAATTGGCTTTGTTTTATATTGAGAAACGCTTAGGGGTGGGGGTTAGGTTAGATACATTTACATTTATTCATTTAGTAGACACTTTTATCCAAAGCGACTTACAATTGAACAATACAATAAGTGATTCATCATAAAGAGGCAAATAAATGCAGGAAGTGCTTGCAATACAAAGCTTCAGGCATTGTTCAGAGTAGTACAAGATAGACGGAGAGATTAAGGAAAGAGAAAGCAAAGTTGTTGTTTTTTTAAGATGAAGTCAAATAGTGACAAAAGAGATGAGTTTTCAGGTGTCGCTTGAAAATTGTCAGGGATTCAGCATTCCAGATAGGGGTGGGAAGTTCATTCCACCAGCCAGGAATGGTGAACAAGAATGTTCTGGAAAGTGATTTTGTGCCTCTCTGTGATGGTACCACAAGGCGTCGCTCACTCAAAAGTGAGTGGAAGTAGGAGGGTGCTGAGCCTGTGGCTGTTCTATATGCAAGCATCAATGTCTTGAACTTGATGCGAGCTGCAAACGGGAGCCAGTGCAAGCAGATAAGGAGAGGTGTGACGTGGGCTCTTTTGTGCTCGTTAAAGACCAGTCGTGCTGCTGCATTCTGAATCATTTGTAAAGGTTTGATTGTGTATGATGGAAGTTCAGCCAGAAGAGCATTGCAGTAGTCCAGTCTAGAAATGACAAGGGCCTGGACAAGATGTTGTGCAGCATGCTCCGTTAGGAAGGGCCTTTCTGATGTTGTGCTATGCAAACCTGCAAAATCAAGAAGTTTTTGCAATGTGGTCTTTGAAAGTCAGCTGGTCATAAAAGATTACACCAAGATTTCTGACTGAACTTGATGGGGTAATTGTTGATTAACCTAACTGGATGGTGAAATCATGCTGTAGAGTTGGAGTGGTAGGGATGACAAGAAGATCAGTCTTTGCCAGGTTGAGCTGTAGGTGATGTTCTTTCATCCATGCTGAGATGTCTGCCAGGCAGTCTGAAATCTGTGCAGCTACCGTTGGATCGTCTGGTTGAAATGAGAGATAGAGCTGTGTGTCATCAGCATAGCAATGATAGGAGAAACCATGTACCTCTATGATGGGACCCAGTGATGTAGTGTATATGTAGAAGAGGAGGGGTCCAAGAACTGATCCCTGAGGTACTCCAGTGAGCAGTTGATGTGCTTTGGAAACCTCCCCTCCCCAGGCCACCTTGAAAGACCTACCAGTGAGATAGAATTCAAACCAGCGAAGTGGAATCCCTTTGATGCCCAGTGATGAGAGGGTGGACAGGAGTATCTGATGATTCACAGTGTAAAAAGCGGCAGATAGATCCAGCAGAATGAGAACTGATGATTTGGAATCAGCTTTTGCAATCCGCAAGGCTTCAGTGACTGAGAGTAGCGCAGTCTCAGTTGAATGTCCACTTCTGAAACCTGATTGGTTAGCATCCAGTTGGATTGCATTCTATTCTGTGAAAGAAATTAGGATACCTGGTTGAAAACAACTCGTTCAAATGAGACAGGCCTGTAGCTATCTGTAAGTGAAGTGTTTAAATGGGTCAGAGGGTGCTGCATGCACTTTTACAAGTTGTTTGAACTGAAATTTGTGTTGGCAGTGTGTGTACACAACCACCCTATAACGATAAAAATTCACCCAGTGTTTTTTTTTTATCTGGTTAAATGTTTTCCCTTTTCTCAAATCGAGCCGATCTCCACGATAGTTTGATTGACAGTAGTGTTTCAGCACAGACTGGACTGGTGTCTTACCTCAGACCCGCCCTGAGTGAGCTGTCATCAGTCTGCCATTGTTTCACCGCTGGAGCAGATGTAGACAAGAATGACTCCTAAGCGATTGAGGTGTTCTGTTGTTGGATGTAATAATGAACAGCAGTCGTCATTTACTCCCGACATCTGAGCTGCTGAACTCGCAGTGGATTACATTGTTTCTGAAGGGAATGCACCCCCGATCTACATAAATGCGTCTATGTTCGCGCAAATCATTCATGATCCAGCTTCATCTACAGAAGAAGTGAGTATAATGTTTTGTAATGAATCTTTGCAAATCGCCATTCCTAATAATGTGCTAATTAACAAGTTTCACGATAAATGCGGCTAAAGTAAACAGTCTCTCTGAGAGCAGCTAGACCCCAAATAATCATATCAACTTGTGGAAAATGGGCATCCTATGACCCCTTTAATGTAGGTTTTTTGAGCAGTGGGGTTACCCGAGCCTGCTTGAATGCAGTGAAGAAAGTGCCTGTGAGGAGAGATGTGTTAATGATGTGTCGGAGTGCTGGTAAGAGTGTAGGGGAGATTGCTTGGAGAAGGTGTGATGGGATTGGGTCTAGAGGGCATGTTGTTGGATGGCTGGAGAGAAGTTTGGATACTTCTGCCTCAGTGAGGGGACAGAAGGAGAAGATGGGAGTTTTAGCAGTAGATGTGTTTGGTTTGAGTTCCTGTGTGTGTGGAGCTTAGAACTGGCTGCTTGATTGTTCTAGTTTTGTTTGCGAGGAATGTGGCAAAGTCATCGGCTGTTAAGGAGGTGGTGGAGGGGGACAGAGGAGAGATTTGAATGTTTTGAAGAGATTACATGTGTCAGAAGCACTGTTGATCTTGTTGTAAAAATATGAAGACTTGGCAGTATGGACTTCAGCAGAGAAAGATGAAAGCAAAGAATGATACATACTCCGATCTGATGGATCTTTTGATTTGCACCATTTTCTCTCTGCTGCCCTGAGTTTGGACCGATGCTCACAAAGAACATCAGATAACCAGGGGTTAGAAGGGCCAGCTCGTGCTGGCCTGGAGGAGAGAGGACATAGGCATATATTGTCTTGACAAGAAGTTAAAGTGGAGCATAAAGTGTCAGTTGCTGCGTTCACATCCAGAGATGAGAAATGGGTAGGTTAGGGAAGAGAGGAAAAGACTACAGAAGAAAGATGTGAGGGTGAAAGGAATGGCGGTTTTGTCTAAAGGTAACGTCTCGGTTACGTATGTAACCCTCGTTCCCTGAAGGAGGGAACGGAGGTAGGGCTATTTAACGTATGTACGAGGATATGTTGTTTACATTCAGATCAAAGTGTGAACAACATAAACAGCGTATAACCGTACGGTGCTGCTGACACAGAACAGCATACGTTGTTTACGGGTGTGATACTCTCCAAAATGGCGCTACGGTGTAGTGGAGGAGACGAATTGTTGAATAAAGTCATTATTTTTGTTTTCTTTGCGCACAAAAAGTATTCTCGTAGCTTTAGTAAAATTACGGTTGAACCGCTATTGTCACACGGATTATTTTAACGATCTCCTTGCTACGTTTCTGTGCCTTGATCATGTTTGGACCCTTGCTGGCTATGCAGAAAGCGCTCGGATTTCATCAAAAATATCTTAATTTGTGTTTCGGAGATGAACGAAGGTCTTATGGATTTGGAACGACATGAGGGTGAGTAATTGGTGACAGAATTTTCATTTTTGGTTGAACTAACCCTTTAAGTGACCTTTACATTTCTAAAAGTACAATTTAAAAAATACACTTATGATTTGACATACACTAAAAGTGCATAGTCAATATAATTAAGTGCACTTCTTTTTCACAAGGGTGAGTAACCACTGGTGAAATTAGATGAGATTAAGTGCAATTAAACACACTTCATTTTCACAAACTAAATTTGTAATGACGGTTCAAACAGGAACGTGTATGTATGTGTGCAGAGGGTTTAATGGTCATGCTCAGTGAGGTCAGGAAATATGATAGACGGCCTCACTCTCCACCCTTCAGCATGTGCTGCTCATTTTGTGGGCCAACCGCAGAGTAAATCACAATCTCTAGCATCATCATCACACTCGCTAACACTCGACACAACGAGACAGTGACAAACTGCAGTCGCTCATCAAGCGTTTTCTCGGCTCCATGCAGTGTGTTTTGATTGTTACTGTAATTTTTTGTCAATTAACTAAAAAAAGTGATAGTTCATCCAAAAAAGAAAATTCTGATACAAAAAAATGAGTTTTTGAAGTATATACTAGTCACTCTTTTCCATATTCAATTCAATTCACGTTTATTTGTACAGCGCTTTTCACAATACAAATCATTGCAAAGCAACTTTACAGCAAATTAAGTTTCTACAATATTTATTTATAGCTTATCAGTGGTGACTGTCAGTTAATGTACATATGGCAGAAATGTACGGAAAAATCAATTAAAGACGTAATCAAACAGACGATGAACACTATTAACAGCAATTATTATATGATGCAATCAAACTTATAGCAAAATGTGGTAGTTCTGTATGTTGTTTCAGGGTTGGCATCATCTGAGGTCCTCTGAGGGGTTGGCATCATCTCTTCTCAGGTGTTCTGGATCCAGACTGAAGCTTAAAACAGAGAAATAAATAGAGACATAATTAGCGTAGCTGCTGGTCCAACCAAGCAAAATTGATTTGTTGACTGAAATTCTTCATACAGATAATTTTTTGCAGGAAGGAGCACAGTTGAGCAGACACAACTTTTTCAAAAATTTTAGACATAAAAAGATGATTTGAGATGGGTCACCATATGATGAAGGTGAAAGAATACTGAAAGCATACTTCAGTTTTGACCCAAACTCTTAAGCCCAAAGCCCAAAGTATACTGTATGTTTTTATTTCCACAATTAAATACATAATTTTTGTATACTTGTTTGCAAACAACTAGTCAGCACATGTGCACTAGAACTAGTACTGTACTTGACTTTCCAGTGTCTGCAATATTTCTGTCCAGGGGTTAAGATGGATAAAAATGTCTTTTGTGGGCATTTATGTTTTTGTATGTAAGTTGAGGGTATCTCTTATGACGGCCACACATTACATGATGTTAGCCCTGATTTTCCGCACTCCAACATTTAATAGCGATCGCAGACAAACACCTGAAATCTGAGACAAATCGGTGCTCATTCACATGAGTAGATAATGTTAAAGTCTTTTTTTTATGTGAACTAAATGAAATCATCTGTATTCTCTCATTTTCTTTATACGTAAAACAACTACAAGCCACAACCTGAGGCTGTGAAATGACGCATGTGACCACAGCTGGAGTTTTTCAGGCTTCAGGCCTGATCTTGTTTTTTGTTTTGCGTGGGAGTAACTTCAAGAGCTAAACATCATGACTTCACTATCATGACTATCAAATCATCCCATACAGAGTGTTTAAAAGTCAGATTGTGAAGAATGCATTTTAAGTACTATTAAGTCAAGATTAGAGATGTGTTTCATAAAAAGCAAACTGGCCTTTCTCTCAAAGCTCTTAAATTACTGTAGGAAATCTCTGTTAAGTGGCACTTGATGAGTGTTTTAAACACTAAGCACTGTTTCCTCTGATCATTGATTTTCTTTCTTCTCTTTTTCAAACAAAGGTGAGTGTCCAGCCCTCAGCAGACATATGTGTGCGTGCAGATGTGCGTGTACAGGCCAGTGCGAGACAGTCCTGCTCATTCTATAAGAACAATTCCACTCTGACCTTTGGCCTCCTGCATCCACCCAGTGAGTCCAACAGGATATCTGTATTTACGTTAAGACCTTTACACAAAACTCACTATTCAGTTCACTTTCTGACCTCTTTTAAGTATGGGAAAAGGTCCTAGAGTTCGATTAGAGCTATAAGTGATATTAGCTAATAAATGCTTTTTTTTTTTTTTTAAATTTATTTGAATGAAGTACATGATATGATACATTCTGGAAATAAACCCATAAATACAAATATTTATAAGTGATTTAATTGAAAAACAAGCGCACAGTTGCTTATAATATAGTAAGCAAATATGGTATGTGGTATATTTGTTCAAGTTTTTAAAACAAGTGTCTTATGCTCACCAAGGCTGCAATTATTTGATCGAAAATGCAGTATAAACCGAAATATTGTGAAATGTTATTACAATTTGAAATAAGTGCTTTATATCTTAATATATATATATATATATATAATTTTTTTAAAATTTGTATTATTATCAATGTTGAAAACAGTTGTGCTGCTGCTATATATTTTTGTGGATTACGTATTATTCAAGATTTTTTGATGAATAAAAAGTTCAACTGAATAACACTATTTGTATATAAATCTTTTGTAACAATATAAAAGTCTTTACTGTCACTTTTGATCAATTTAATGCATCCTTGCTGAATAAAAGAATCAGTTCTTTCTTTCTGACCCCAAATTTTTGAACAGCATTGTACAGTTTAGGGGTCATTATACACAAATCTTTAACCACTCAATTCTGCAATTTGGCCAGTCAGTGTATCCATAGATCTGTGTAATAAAAGAGTTGTGTTTACTCTGCTATGTCTGTAGTGTTTTGTATGACAGGACTCTAAATGCTTTCTCTCTCCCTCAGACTTCAGTCCTACAGGAACTGAGCCAGACTCCTTAATTACAAGCAACATGGTGCCCATGTTTCCTGCTTTCAAAGGTAAGCTATGTTTTACATTCAGCTTATAACATTACACAGACTGCAGGGAGACAAAACCTGACAACTGGGATCTCTTTCTTTATTGCACTTTTTGTGATTTATTGTGTTGTACGCTTGCAATTTGCATGTTTGTTCTGGCAAGAACTGCATGATGTCTTTCTTCTGACTGCCAATACGAATATTTCCAAAAGATTTGCTGTTTACTTGAATAGTTGGAAAGTAAATGGAAAGTTAATGGCATGCTGGAATCAAGAATCTACGCATTTTAGCTCTGAGGTTGGTTAAAATGTAGATTTTATTAGGGATTCAAGCATGAAGTGCTAGGAAATATTATGGTCATTATGATTTATTTGTTATATTTGTGCAAAAAAAACGTACAGTTCAATTAGACGCACAACCTTTGATGTCAACAATAGCAAAAAAAAAAAAACTGGAGTCTAGAGTGCCATTGTCAATAATCATCAAAAAAAATACTGAACTTTGTATTCAGAATGGGTTCCACATGCCAGTAGACATATTTTTTTATTTCATTTTTCATTTTTATTAAAAGGCTGGAATTCTGCATTCCAGCTCATAAAGGCAGAATTGACAACTTTCTGTTTGAAAACGTGTAATACATTGACACTAGAAGTCAGAAAAAAGTAATGCAGAAATCCTTAACATAGCAAAAGACTTTGCCCACCATAATGGCACCCATGAATATTTATACTGATAATAAACATTCACTTTAAAGGGGTGTCCAAACCTGTGGAGGGCTGCTGTCCAGCAGAGTTCAGCTCCAATCCTAATCAAACACACCTGAACCAGCGAATCAAGATCTTACTAGGCATACTAGAAACATCCAGGCAGGTGTGTTGAGGCAAGTTGGAGCTAAACTCTGCAGGACAGTGGCCCTCCAGGACCGAGTTTGGACTCGCCTGACTTTAAGCAAGTAGAATGTTTTTCTCACTCAAAGTTCCTACATTGCATGAGAATTAAATCTGTTTTGCAAGTGTTTGCATAGACATGGGTGTGAACCTTGATCTACAGTGCTGGGTCACTCTACAGATCTACAGAGTGAGTGTTGTCCTACTAAACTACTAAAACACTTTCAAAATCAATGAGACTATATATGAGAAAGCTGTGCTCTAATTTAATAAAGATATGCAACACTCCCTGAAAAGGTAAATGTTCTCAAGTTAAAGCTGCCCTATAATTAGAATCAGTTGATCACAGCTGAATTGAGGCCAGCAAGCATTTATACCAAAATCAAAGAAAGAGTCCCGCAGGAACACTTGACCTGCCAAAAAACACCTAGGAATGCTCAACAGAGCACACAAAGAACTGCAAGTTTCTCAGCGTACTTTCATGGCTCTGTTATCAGAGTGAGACAAAAAATGGACTTGATGAGAGAACAGAGACAGAGATGACAGACATGCTGTTTTGTGTTTATATGGGCCTGTAGACGAACATAAAATTGGCATCTCAGGGATATTTCGTATTTGACATGTCTTTAAAGTGCCCCTATTATGGGTAATGAAAGGTTCATATTTCGGTTTTGGGAGTCCCCAACAACAGGTTGACATGCATGCAATGTCAAAAAACACTTTCATTGTCTTATAATATGCATTTATTTTTACCTTACTTGCTCAACGAGTCCCAAACGATTCGCTCAACGATTCATTTTTTCAAACCTTTCCTTTGCGTGACTCTAATCTGCGGTGATTGGTCCGATTGGTCTCATTTTAATTTCATCAAGAGCCTGTAATGCCTGATAAAGCAGCGTTTGTGAGCGCAGTGCTGCTTTGTGTACAGCGTTACCGGGGAAACAGCTATTTTACCTCCAAAAGTGGCATCTAGTGGCAAAGAATGAATTTGCATTTTCATTCAGACCAATGCTAAAAGACCAACAAGTGTGCGGGCAATATGCTAATGTTTCATGTTGACCTCAACATGATGAAACGGCTTGGGATTCGTTTTAAAAACGACTCGTTTCAATGATTCAGAGTCGACTCTTTCTTTTGAGAGACAATAACTTTATACACGGTGCACTTTCAGATTTAAAACTTTGCAGGATGTTTTCAATCACTTAGAGCTATGTTACACACTGCATGAAAGGAAATTTTCAAAAAAAAAAATCCATAATAGGGGCACTTTAATTAACTGTCACCGTCCCACCTGTGGGACGCTTGGCGCTCTTTTTTGTTGTTGTCCTTTTTCTCTATCAAATCTTTTAGTAATCATCATAAAGTATATATCATTTGAAAGCTTAGAAGCCCAAGATACATCCTCTGAAAACCATTTTGAAATCGGACATTGCGTTACCTTAGAAATGGTACTTTAATATCTTGTGGCGGTCTCCTCCCCCTTAGTGGGCGGTGTCAAGTGTCATATTACAAAATGCATTATGGTCTTTTAGAATCAAACCTTTTGACAAATCTTGACAAAAAACATTTCATTGAAAAGGTCTGAGTCTCAGGATTCCATATTTGGTGGATATAATTCTATTTTGAGATAGAAGTAATATTGACAGAGAAATCTAGACATTTGTGACAGAAAAATGCATAAAAAAATTTAGATGGCACCTGGTGGCTGTTTGTGGTATGACGCCCTAAATAAAATGTCACAGGAACCTAAATTTTTTTCATATCAACTTCAAATTTGGAACATAACTTATTTAGAAATAAGGCTTTAATTTTATACCAGTTTTAGAGTAAAACCTGTTATGTAAAATATTTATAATAAATAAAATACAATAAAATTAATATAGTGAATTTTATTTACAGTACATTTAAACTTCTATAACTTTTTGATACTTTAATCCTCTTTTGCAATAATCTGCTGACTTTCTTCTTTAAAAAGAGACCAAGCTTAGGTCGGTATTCCAAAGTGTTAATAAATTACAACAATTTAAGTTTGGATAGTGCACTTTCATGTCTATTTTAAAAAATGGGGGGGTGACAGTTAAGGGGTTAAAGGGATAATTCACCCAAAAATGAAAATTGTCATCGGTTACTCGCCCTCAAGTTGTTCCAAACCTTTATGAGTTTTTTTCTTCTGTCGAAGACAAAAAAATATATATTTTGAAGAATGCTGGTAACCAAACAGTTTCTGGTAGCCATTGACTTTTATAGTATTTTTTTCTCATATACTATGGAAGTCAATGGGGACCAACAACTGTTTGGTTCTTCTAAATATCCCATTTTTTGTTTGACAAAAGAAAGAAACTCATACAGGTATGAGACAACTTGAGGGTGAGTAAACGATGACAGAATTTTGTCTACACTAATGCGACAAAGCTTTAGGGGAATTCAGAAATCACAGAACAAACGGCATAAATAACAAACATACAAAGGTGCTATAGAGCAGCATTCTATTTTTAATCATTTTGGATGCACATTATGGCATTATTGTAGACCCGCCTTGGAAATGTTCCTGTAAAATTGTTATACTCTGAAAACCCATCTCAACAATTCCAGGAATCAATTAAAAAGCTTTACACCAGGTGATCCTCACAAGTCATAATGAAGGCAGCTCTGCTGTATTAAAACGCAGTATTGAGTCATTTGTCTGTGAACCAAATTAACTGATGTTTTGCTTTAACCTCAGAGACTCATCAGTGGTAATTGCAACACCTGTGTATGGTAAACACTTTCTTCACTCTGTATTGTACAAGTATTTAGATCAAAGTGAAAATGACTCCTTTCATTTCCCAAACTAACTCCACCAACATGACGTGCATGTAGAACATTAACTATCTGCATTCCATTAGAAATCAATCTGTGTTTTAGTGCATCTACAGAGGGATAATCTAAAAAAATTGTGGTTTGTACTTTGGGTGCACCAGCATTTCATAACACATCTGTTATCGGTTGATTACGCAAGTATATTGTTTATGCATTTATCATAGACCTATTATTCATATGAATCCAAAACAGCATCGTTCATTAGGATCCTTTTTGCAACACTTGTTTGGTTTCAGTCACTTAATAATCTTGATGTTTTTAACTTCCGCAAGATGCAACTTTTAAGTATAGTAATTATGCATAAACAGAATAATGGACAGCACTAACATTGTGATTATGTCTCGAACATTGCTTTCACTGTTTTACATATCATTTGATGTTATCATGTTACGTAAACCTCTCCTGTACTGTGAGTCTCAGTGTTATTTTAATACCATTAAACTAAAGAGTTTGTTACATTTTCTGTTTTCATTTTAATTTTGGTTAGACTTGTAGTCATTTGTGTTATTGGCATTTTAATGTCTTTTTTAAATGTCTAAATAGTTTGTATTAAGATTTAGTTTTAGTTATTTTAATATGTTAACTTTAAATAAAAATGAGGCGTTGCCTTGGCACATAAAATGCTAACATAAAACTTGATATATTTTATTTAAGTAAATGTTTATATTAGTAATATATCGGTAATAACCCTGCTATGTCTGTTCTGTGGCTTTTAGATCTTTCATGCTTGATTATAGTCGCTGTTGTTCGTGTCTAATGTCTTTGTGACAGATATCTGGAATCACTTTCACGATGTTCTGCTGCTGAAGTATTCACAAAAGCTGAATGGAGTCAATGTTGTGAGCGGACCAATATTTGACAACGACTTTGATGGGAACTATGACTTTTTGAACAAGGGAACCCCGTAAGTTTGCAAAATGAACCTGTGTGTGAAAGATCCCCTTTTTTTATATCACTGACCAGTTTCGTTTTGAAAATATTCCAGTCCATATATAATATCCGGTCTTCAGTGTAACATGCTCCTTCAGAAATCGTTGTAATATGCTGATTTGCTGCTCAAGAAATATTGATTACTATTATCACAGTAGAAGACACTTGCTTAATATTTCTGCGTGATCCTTTGACGAATAGAAAGTTAAAAAGAATATTTATCCTGAAAAAATGTTTTTTTTGTAACATTACAAAGGTCTGTCACTTTTGATCAATTTAATGCATCCTTGCTGAATAAAAGTATTAAAGGGATACTCCACCCCAAAATGAAAATGTTGTCATTAATCACTTACCCCCATGTCGTTCCAAACCCATAGAAGCTTCGTTCGTCTTTGGAACACAATTTAAGATATTTTGGATGAAAACCGGGAGGCTTGTGACTGTCCCATTGACTGCCAAGTAAATTAGACTGTCAAGGTTCAGAAAAGTATTGAAAGACATCGTCAGAATAGTCTATCTGCCATCAGTGGTTCAACCGTAACGTTATGAAGTGACGAGAATACTTTTTGTACGTGAAGAAAACAAAAATAACGACTTCATTCAACCATTCGTCTCCTCTGTGGCTCTCCGCATCACCGTAGCGCCATTTTGGAGAATAACCACTGAATGCAAGCAGCGTACGCTCTTCTGTGTCAGCCGTGCCACAAGGATACGATTTCTATGTGTATTTACACTGTGATTTGAAAGAAAACAGCGCATCCTTGTGTCGCGGCTGACACAGAAGAGCGTACGCTGCTTGCATTCAGTGGATATTCTCCAAAATGGCGCTACGGTGATGCGGACAGACATAGAGGAGACGAATTGTTGAATAAAGTTGTTATTTTAGTTTTTTCCGCGTACAAACATATTCTCGTCGCTTCATAACGTTACGGTTGAACCACTGATGGCAGATGGACTATTCTGACGATGTCTTTCATACTTTTCTGGACCTTGATAGTGTAATTTACTTGACAGTCAATGGGACAGTCACAAGCCTCCCGGTTTTCATCCAAAATATCTTAAATTGTGTTCCGGAGACGAACGAAGCTTTTATGTGTTTGGAACGACATGGGGGTAAGTTATTGATGACAAAATTTTCATTTTGGGGTGGAGTATCCCTTTAATTTCTTAAAAACCACTTTACTATTAATCCAATTTTCCTTAAATTCCACTTTAAAATCAAAATAAACTGTGGTTGGTCACTTTACATGTTGGTCAGATGGTGTTTTCCTGTCTAAGATGACAAGAACAAGATGCAAAGTGGGCCAGACTTCATGCATAAGTCTAACATCTAACTACAGTATATGAGATAAAAACATTTTTTTTTATTAGGCCAAATGCATCATTTATGACTAGACCTATTGGTAGTTCACATACTGCCCACTAGTGGCCAAATAATGCCAAAAATGTATTTAACAATGCATTAGACTGAACGCTTCTGCTTTCAGGAACGGGGCGCCCATCCCGACACATTTCTTTGTGATTCTTACAAGCTGTAAGAACTCGTCCCTTCCCATCCGACAGTGTGACGGTCCTCTAGATGCTGTGTCTTTCGTTCTTCCTCATCGAGCTGATCATCTGGAAACATGTCATGTATGTGATCAGCCATTCATGATCTGAACCACAGCAACCATAAGATTGTACAAAGTAGCTGAGTAACTTGCTTGTTAGGTAACTTGTTAACCACTTAAGTAAAAAAACAAACAAAATTAAACTAGTTAAACAACAAACATTTGGCAGTACATTTCAACCATATTTCAAAGACGATAGAACTAAATATGAAATGACATATAAAGATGTACTTAAGTCCTGAATAGGTTGAAAATTTCAACTAATTGAATTGAATGTAGATTTAAAGTGGCTGAAAACATTACATTCAGTTCACACTTAAAGTATATTATTTCCTTAAGTACTCTTAAAAGTAAGTACTTTTTCACAAGGGCAAGCATAATATGGAATAAGTTACGGAAAGATTTTATGAGATGAATCAAATAGGTTTATTAAAAAAAAGGAATTGTTGTATTTCTCTCTCATATCTCATTATGCATCTATTTTTTTTTACACACCCTGTTTTGTTCTATCATTTATTTCTCCAGAATGGCTCAGACTACTCATGGCTCCAGGATTGGGTTCAGTTTCACGTGACGCGAATCAGAGACGTTGAGCTTCTGACGGGCTTGAGTTTTTACCATGACCGGATATCTGTTGCTGAAACATTACAACTCAAAACCACACTCAAAACTTTCTAGAAACGCTTATGAACTTAGACCTCATTTCACTGCGTCTGCAGGCCATGAACGGCACGTTCAGAATAGAATGGATCTGTTCACCATTGAGACCCAGCTGAGCCTTACCAGACTCTGAAACAAAGACACAAGTTCATCCAGAGAGTCTTTGAACTCCTAAAATGGGAAAATTAAAACGTTTTTATGATCTCTGCTTTAATGAAATCTTTATTCTCAGAGGCAATCTATTTATATCTGGGGAAGTACCAACTGTAGCAAAAACTGGCCCAGCCTAGAGAAACTAAAATTCTGTTTTTCCAAAAAAGAAAAAAAAACTGTTTTGCAGCACACATGTTAGTGATTTAACTGTGGTTGGACTGTGGGTCCAGCATTCAGCATGTTCCAAAAAGAAAGAGTATCCTCAAATGAAACCGTATCGAGAGCTTTTGTGCAAACGACAGGAAAGCTACATTTTCCACAGGAATCACTTTCAAAGTGTCACTTGCTATACATTGTTTTATTATATTGTATTACAACAAAAGAAACAAATGCTGTTTCCAGCAGTCTGTAGCATGCACAGCACAATTCATGATTTATTTACTCCTGTATAATAGTGGTTTGTTCTGCCCCTTCAGGCCAGAATGCAGAATTGCATCAGACAACAAAAGCAAAACTTATGTCACTGTGCATCTTTTTCTGGAGATTATATGGATTCACTCTCTCAGGTCAATTTTGATATCAATAAATATGCATCGACATTCTTTATTACATTTGTATGTTACTTTTGTTTTTCAAAGTTCATAACGTGTAAGCAGAGATGAGATTGTACTGTAGATTGTCTCATATGTATGTTGTGTATTGTCTCACTGTATTTGGTGAATATTTGGAAAAATATGTAATATTTGTGTTATATGTATTTTGTTCGTGCTGTTGTGGTTTAATACAATTAGGCGTCACTCAAAATTATCCTCTTCAATAAGTGTGCTATAGTTTACACATAGATACATACATAGTTTGGATCAATGTGATATTTTTTGTTTTGGTCTGGACCTATATATTTATACAAATTTTAAATATATGCACCACCATTCAAAAGTAGGAAGTCAGTAAGTTTTTTTTTTTTTAAATGGACAAAAGTGACAAATAAATGCTGTTCATTTGAATTTTCTATTAATTATACATAGATACATACATAGTTTGGATCAATGTGATATTTTTTGTTTTGGTCTGGACCTATATATTTATACAAATTTTAAATATATGCACCACCATTCAAAAGTAGGAAGTCAGTAAGTTTTTTTTTTTTAAATGGACAAAAGTGACAAATAAATGCTGTTCATTTGAATTTTCTATTAATTAAAGAATCCCGAAGAAAAACAAAAATCAACACAACTGTTTTCAGCACGAAGAAGATAAATGCAAATAGTCTTTTAATAAATCCACACAGGGGTAAATCAGGATGGACAGGCAGGAGCACATGTAGGGAAACATTCACTATCACATCAATAATGGACGAGGGAAAACAGGAAAGACTACACTTTAAATAGAATACGATAGTGAGGAGACATGTGGCCAAGTATGGTGACCCATACTCAGAATTAGTGCTCTGCATTTACCCATTCAAAGTGCACACACAGACCATGAACACACACCCGCAGCAGTGGGCAGCCATTTATGCTGCGGTGCCCGGGGAGCAGTTGGGGGTTCGGTGCCTTGCTCAAGTGGTATTGAAGGTGGGAGAGAGCGCTGTACATTCACTCCCCCCACCGGTACGAGACTCAAACCCGCAACATTTGGGTTACAAGTCCGACTCTCTAACCATTAGGCCACGACTTCCCCTACTGAGGCCAATGAAGATAATTAATGACACACACATGAACTAAATGACACAAGCAAACATGAGGGAAAACTAGGTCACAAAGCACATGGGGGAAGAAAACACAACAAAAGTTCAATGGGGTGTGACACTTATATCACAAGTTTAGTTCAGGTTGTTACGTTTATGTTCATGATTTCAAAACAAACAAAAACTTTTTGCATTGTAAAATATGTTTAAAAACCTTTAGTAAAATACTGAGTAACATGTATACACTCACATTACATGCATTATAAGCTAAAGAAAAAAAAGCATGTTAGAAAATCTAAATGAAACACTGAATACTTTCTGTTTTAAGATGCTTGAGAATCAAACTGCTTCTGTGGCCTTGCACAGCACTCTTCAGCTGAACATACTGTTGTTCTGGTTTATTTCAGTTTCACAGACGTGTGTCATCATCGTGTGAACAGGAAGGATGTGGAAAATGATGAACAACTCCGTCTCTCTATATAGGGTTAAGATTGCAGGTCTCTGAGCTGTCACTTCATATCACATCACAACAAACTGGCTGGAAGGTAAGTCTGCAAGCAATATTTTATCACAACGACACATTAGTGTGGCGATTATTATAATATACAGTCATCAAAGCTGTCAAATTTGAATGGGGTAAAGTTTATTAACAGCAAAGTGTAACGTTTCAGAGAAGTACATTAAACTTTTATATTTGCAAGACCTGTTGTAAATAATGTTGCTGTTTTAGTTCTTGTGTTCCTTAGCATTTAAAAGCCCTATTAACAGAAACATTGTCAATGTTGTTAACCAATACTGGCTTAAAATGTTTTTTTAGGGCTGTCAATGTGTGCAAAGACAGTTGTGAAATATGAAATGTCTTCAAAACCAAAATTTGATAAAATGCCATTCTGCTTTCAAAAGATTATTCAGTTGATTCTAATATTGTAGCACAAAAAGGTGTATTCTTTTTTTCTTCAGCATAACAGATTTTTTTTTTTAGCATATTAACGAAAAATCCCTCTATAGGGTATTGAATCACAACGTTTAGTGATGTCCCTGCTAGAGAGAGGTTTTAAGTGCATGATGCATGTAGCTCAGCTGAAAGAACTGAATCAGTCACTGCAGATCAGTTTAGTTAAGTGTCTAGTGCTTTGCAATTCAAACATATACATGTCTCAAAGAAAAAAACTGAATGTCAAGCAGGCCATCTGACTGAAAACATCTGATCTATGGGAAGCTGATTGTCATCTCACAGCTACGTATATAATAGATACATGTGGCATTTGTTAAATAAACCTTTTCTGGAAGTGGCTCTTGCAGCAAAAGCCCCTCGCAGAGAGCTGTCAGGGCCAGACATTGTGGGCTCCCGCATAACCCAATCATTGCATGACAAGCGCAGCTCACCAGACTCATATCGGAGATCATACCAGATTCATATCACATCACCATAGACACTTCACGTAAATGAGCTCATGAAGAACGGGGGAAATGACAGCAGACATTTCCCACACTCTGCTGAATTCCATGTAGGTCTGTTGACTCAGCTTCACCGTGGCTATAGGTCCCTCACACATTGTCAGAATGAGATTATATAAAAAAAATCTGCTTATGATTTGGTTTTGTAGCACTATGCATGGTAATAGTTTCTGATGCATTTTAACCAGGGATGCAAACATTTGAGGGCAATTACACGTTTTGATATGATTAATATCTCAATCAATGTTTGATGAGAAAACCCCAAGACATTATTGTTGCAGATTATTGAATTATGCTACAAAACATTGTGTAGCCTAACATTATTATTGAATAGTGTTACAAAAAGTGGCTTTAGAACTCAATGCAACCCTTTTGTTTCTTGAAACGAACTAATTTAAGTCGACCTTCAGTTTGTCCGTCCGAGGTAAACATTCACACAGAATGCATTCTTGCATTCCACCTGCGCTATTTTTGTGGACTGTGTGTGCAAACCGAAGTTTATTTTCAGGGAATATATTTTTAAATCGTGTGACGAATTAAAACACTGTTAAAAAGACGTCATGCGTTCGGTTTCACTCTGTCTAACTATTTTTGGACTTACTGTGCTTGCTCATGATGTGGTTTGGTTTGGTTTGGTGGGTCATGTGGTCAGACGTTCTCAGTTATTAGAAGAGGGGAAGGCAACATTGGCATACAAACGCATGAATGTATGTCAACTTAATTGTGTCACAGGCGTCTCTAAAGCTGCCGAGAAACCTTGAGCGTTCATCTGTACTTGTCACACATTCAGGTAGGGCTGGACGATATGGCCATATTTATATCACGATATATTTCTTAATTTCGGT